ACAAGATTTTGAAGTAATTCAAAATGGAACAGTCAAAAAGGAGTTCTTGCCTGTGTTACAAGGTGTGAAGTTGAGTAAGACTCAAAACCCGACCACGGCAGAAGATAGAGAGAGACTGAAAGTCATTCCCTATGCCTCAGCCATAGGTTCTATAAAGTATGCCATGCTGTGTACCAGACCTATTGTATACCCTGCCCTGAGTTTGGCAAGGGAGTACAATAGTGATCTAGGAGTAGATCACTGGACATTGGTCAAAATTATCCTTAGTGGAATAAGGATATGTTTCTCGATTATGGAGGTGACAAAAAGGTTCGTCGTAAAGGGTTACGTCGATGCAAATTTTGACACTGATCCAGATGACTCTAAATCTCAATCTGGATACATATTGAAAGTGGGAGCAATTAGCTAGAGTAGCTCCGTGCAGAGCATTGTTGACATAGAAATTTGCATAATACTTACGGATCTGAATGTGGCAGACCCGTTGACTAAACTTCTCTCACAAGCAAAACATGATCACACCTTAGTACTCTTTGGGTGTTAATCACATAGCGATGTGAACTAGATTATTGACTCTAGTAAACCCTTTGTGTGTTGGTCACATGTCGATGTGAACTATGCGTGTAAATCACATGGTGATGTGAACTATTGGTATTAAATCACATGGTGATGTGAACTAGATTATTGAATCTAGTGCAAGCAGGAGACTGAAGGAAATATGCCCTAGTGGCAATAATAAAGTTATTATTTATTTCCTTATATCACAATAAATGTTTATTATTCATGCTAGAATTGTATTAACCGGAAACATAATACTTGTGTGAATACATAGACAAACTAAACGTCACTAGTATGCCTCTACTTGACTAGCTCGTTAATCGAAGATGGTTATGTTTCCTAACCATAGACATGTGTTGTCATTTGATTAACGGGATCACATCATTAGGAGAATGATGTGATTGACATGACCCATTCCATTAGCTTAGCACCCGATCGTTTAATATGTTGCTATTGCTTTCTTCATGACTTATACATGTTCCTGTGACTATGAGATTATGCAACTCCCGTTTGCCGGAGGAACACTTTGTGTGCTACCAAACGTCACAACGTAACTGGGTGATTATAAAGGTGCTCTACAGGTGTCTCCAAAGGTACATGTTGGGTTGGCGTATTTCGAGATTAGGATTTGTCACTCCGATTGTCGGAGAGGTATCTCTGGGCCCTCTCGGTAATGCACATCACTTAAGCCTTGCAAGCAATGCAACTAATGAGTTAGTTGCGAGATGATGTATTACGGAACGAGTAAAGAGACTTGCCAATAACGAGATTGAACTAGGTATTGAGATACCGACGATCGAATCTCAGGCAAGTAACATACCGATGACAAAGGGAACAACGTATGTTGTTATGCGGTCTGACCGATAAAAGATCTTTGTAGAATATGTGGGAGCCAATATGAGCATCCAGGTTCCGCTAGTGGTTATTGACTGAAGACGTGTCTCGGTCATGTCTACATTGTCCTCGAACCCGTAGGGTCCGCATGCTTAACGTTACTATGACAATTTCATTATGAGTTTATATATTTTGATGTACCGAAGGTTGTTCGGAGTCCCGGATATGATCACGGACATGACGAGGAGTCTCGAAATGGTCGAGACATAAAGATCAATATATTGGACGGCTATATTCGGACACGAGAAGTGTTTCGGGTGATTTCGGAGAAAACCGGAGTGCCGGAAGGGTTACCGGAACCCCCCGGGGAAGTATTGGGCCTTAGTGGGCCTAAGGGGAGAGAGAGGGCAGCGGCCCAGGAGGTGGCGCGCCCCCTCCCATGGGGAGTCCGAATTGGACTAGGGGAGGGGGCGCGGCCCCTCTTTCCCTCTCCCTCTCCCTCTCTTTCCTTTCCCCTTCCCTCTTCCTAGTTGGACTAGGAAAGGGGAGTCCTACTCCTACTAGGAGGAGGACTCCCCCCTCCTTGGCGCGCCTCAAGGGCCGGCCGGCCTCCCCCCTTGCTCCTTTATATATAGGGGCAGGGGGCACCTCTAGACACACAAGTTGATCTTCGTGATCGTTCTCTTAGCCGTGTGCGGTGCCCCCTCCACCATAATCCTCGATAATATTGTAGCAGTGCTTAGGCGAAGCCCTGGGACGGTAGAACATCAAGATCGTCACCACGCCGTCATGCTGACAGAACTCTTCCCTGACACTTTGCTGCATCGGAGTCCGGGGATCGTCATTGAGCTGAACGTGTGCTAGAACTCGGAGGTGCCGTAGTTTCAGTGCTTGATCGGTCGGCCCGTGAAGACGTATGACTACATCAACCGCGTCGTGCTAACGCTTCCGCTTCCGGTCTACGAGGGTACGTAGACAACACTCTCGCCTCTCGTTGCTATGCATCACCATGATCTTGCGTGTGCGTAGGAATTTTTTTGAAATTACTACGTTCCCCAACAGGTATCCCCATACCTTGTTCAATCTCGTTACCGGCAAGTCTCTTTAGTCGTCCCATAACGCATGATCCCGTGGTTAACTCCTTAGTCACATTGAGCTCATTATGATGATGCATTACCGAGTGGGCCCAGAGATACCTTTCCGTCATACAGAGTGACAAATCCCAGTCTCGATTCGTGCCAACCCAACAGACACTTTTGGAGATACCTGTAGTGCACCTTTATAGCCACCCAGTTACATTGTGACGTTTGGTACACCCAAAGCATTCCTACGGTATCCGGGAGTTGCACAATCTCATGGTCTAAGGAAATAATACTTGACATTAGAAAAGCTCTTAGCAAACGAACTACACGATCTTGTCCTATACTTAGGATTGGGTCTTGTCCATCACATCATTCTCCTAATGATGTGATCCCGTTATCAATGACATCCAATGTCCATGGTCAGGAAACCATAACCATCTATTGATCAACGAGCTAGTCAACTAGAGGTTTAGTAGGGACATGTTGTGGTCTATGTATTCACACATGTATTACGGTTTCCAGTTAATACAATTATAGCATGAACAATAGACAATTATCATGAACAAGGAAGTACAATAATAACCATTTTATTATTGCCTCTAGGGCATATTTCCAACACCTATGTGATCGGAGATCCCGTGAAAGGACCTGGGAAAACAAGCTAGTGGTTAACTGAGGAGAGTATTTTAGCTAACCCACTCCATTGGAGATGCACAACTCTCGGTAACTGTATGGCAGGTTGACTTTTTTCTTAATGTGTTCCAAGGCTTGTAAAAGCAAGATGCTATCCTACAGAGCAATCTTTGGAGGAACACACCTATATGAGCCTGACTATTGGTCATAGTCTATGAGATTAGGGTGATCTCTAGTAAGTTAATGAACAGGCGAGGAGTGACCAATATGCTCCACCCGAGGGGTCAGCCTTCGGCAGCCTAGTACTGGTAAGACACTTGGTGAAACTTCTTCATCCCAAATTGATAATTCAAGGCCTAGTCCATTGTTAAGTTGTGGAGGAGTGTAGCTATTTGTTCTAGGTGGATGTTCAACCTTAACGGGTCTCCACTGAAAATACTGGTATATCAAAACAGAGTTTGGAACAGAGGACAACACCATGGGCCTTTGGGATCTGGTGGGGGATTGCTGAATATTAGTTGGGCTACAGGACCACTTAACAATTTCATAAAATCCTCAAGGGCCCATGTTGTCAATTGAGTGGTGGGAAGTTTAGTCCCACATGGCTAGTTGAGAGAGATGTATACCAACTTATAAGGTGAGCTCTTCTCCCACTAGTATGAGTTGGTGTGAAGGAAGAAGAGGTGTTCCACACGCGCGCTCCTCCTCCGCCGCCCGCCTCGTCACGACGCGCGCGCGCGCCGCGTGTTGCGGGAATGAGCCAAGCCGATGCAATATTTTGCCGGTCAAAATTGGAGAGTCCATTACAGACACAAAATGAATGTGAGACGTCATATTCATTGCGGAAATGAAAACGTCCATAATAAATACATTTTTATTGTGGAGATGGAAATGTCTGTAATTAAACGCGTTTTATGGAGATGAAATGTCTGTAATTAAATGGTTTTATTGCTGGATCGTTCTCCTACCCGACTGGCTATATATATGAGGCATCGCAGCTCAGCTCCATGCGCTTCACACCTCCACTGCTCCCTGGTCGTTCCTTTTACTGCTGCTGCCCTCGGTGATCCCATCCCATCTACCGCGTACACGGCTGACGAGAGAGCAGGCCTCCGAAACCCCGCCTCTCCAGATCCTGTACGGGAGAGAGGCGATTAAGTTTTTGGGGAGCGTCTCCTACGCGACTGCTCGCCTTGGTTCAACTACTTCATCTACGTTGACTACTTCTACGTCACCTTCGTTTTCACCATGAGCACTGACTCCGATCGTGCGGCTGCCGAGAAGGCTGCTGCGGACAAGAGGATCAGAGACGAGGCCAACGCCTCCGCTGCTGCTACGGCCAACTGGCCTACCGGAGGGTATAACACATTTACACCGCTCCTGTTTACTTTCATGTGTGCAGTACTAGTGGTGGTTTGCATAGATGTTTCTACTATCTGCCTAGTACGTGCGTACATCATCAAAATTCAGTATGTCATTAGCACTGCTTATGTCATGTTTCATAATTTATTATTGGATTAAATTAATCAAACAATTGCTTAATTTCTCAACAATAATAAGTGTTGTCCGCTGTCCGCTTACATCAATCCTCCGTTTTGTGTTTATCTATTCGTGTTTGCCCTTCCTCACTCAACTGAAAAACAAATCCAGTTACATACTTACTGCCCCGAGCAGAAGACTCGACTTCATTTGATAAATCACGCGAGTAACGAAGTTCACAGCAGCAACAGTGTGAATCTAGCCGTAAAATGAGTTCTTAAATTCCTAGTGCCTTGCGTGTCTGCTAGAGGGAATAGATCTCACTCTTGTAAATTTTCCAAATGAACACGTCAAAATTTACGTCTATGGAGCACTAAACGATCCTGGAATCACCTAGCCTAGCTGCTGCTGCTAGTGCTAGCTATCATCGCCCTTGAGCTTCCTAACCTTGTCGAGGAAGGCTTGCCGGCCGGGGAACGGGCTCCCTCCCTCGCCGCCTTTCAGCGGCGCCGCCCTCTCGCCGCCGCGCCCCAGCCCCAGGATGTCCTTCTTCGCCGCCGCTCCAATGCGGGCCTTCCTCGCCGTCCCCAGTGCGCCGCCATCCTTCGCGCCGGCGCTCACGCCGAGCACATCCAGCTTCGCCGTCCTCACCTGCTCCTCCCTCCTCGTCCGCATCCGCTCACGCCTCTCGTCCCTCTTCCCCCTCGGCCCGTCCGGGTCAGCCGCCCCGGCGTCGAACAGGGCGCTCCCGCTGCGGGGGGTTCTGTTGCCGGTGCTCTGGCGCCGGCCGGCCTTCCTCGGGATGCGGCCGCCGTAGGAGGTGCCGAGGAGGCGGAAGTCGAGGCGGCCCCAGCCGTCCTCGTCGGAGAGGTCCCAGCCGAAGCGCTCGGCCATCTCCTGGAGCGGCCCGTCGCCGTCGTCGCCGGCGTCGTCGTAGACGTAGTCGAACTTGGAGTCGCCGCGGAGGAAGCGGTGCGCGTGCTCCCACTCCACGCGGTCGACGTAGACGGGGTCGTCCAGCACCTCGCGCGCCAGGCGCGCCCAGACCAGCGTGTCCCCGTAGTCGAGCTCCACGACCACCCACCGCAGGTAGGACGGCGGCAGCGTGCCCAGCATCTGGCCCTTGTGCTTGCCGAAGTCGATCACGCGGTCCCTCGCCGGCCGCGAGGACGCGCCCGGCGCGCCCGCCCCCGCGGCGGCCCCGAGCGGACGGAGGAGGGGGAGTCCGGCGGGTCTGGGCAGCGTGGCGGTGGAGCGGCGACGGTGAAGGGGGGAGAGAGGCGCCGCTCGGGATGGGGATGGGGATGGGGGTCTCGGCGTCGGCGCCGGGGAGGAAAGGCAGGCCCTTGCGGCGGCGAGCGGGAGCATGGCGTGCTGGCGGCGGCGGCCGGAGAGCGGGGAAGTTTGTGTGTGTGTGGATGGAGAGGTGCCGCGTCACCGCGCCCTCGCGGGTAAAATTATCCACTCGCTGGCTCGACGCTCACAATATCATTATTCGCTCGCAATATACAGATGCAGTCACGCAGAGGCAGAGCAAACCATTCATCTCACTTACATAGTCAGAGCTCGTGCTCGTTGAGCATAATTGGTTTGGTGTCAAAAAATAAGCATGCCAATGTTTGGTATTATGCCAAATATTCGCTACTACTTGATTGATTATCGAATTGTCTTGCCTATCTCACATAAAGTTATCAATATTTGACAAGTCTTGTATTGCCAGGTTCAAAAAAAAAGTCTTGCTATTGCCAATATTTGATAATTTCAACATTTGGCTAGCCAAATATTGACAACAAACCAATCATGCTCATTGTTGGCTCAATGGCGGCCGAGTGACGACGCCGGAAGGGCAATACCAGATGGGCTGAACAAGGAAATCAATCTTGGATGCCTGAACCATCAAAACTGTGACGAGATGCAAAAGGTTAGAATACATCCAACATTGATTCTCAAACCGTCGACAGCGTGTGGTGCGGACGCATTTAGTCATCCGACGCGCGCCCGCTCAGCGGCCAGGACTCACTTTTTTTTTGAGATGGAACACATAGATTCCATACCATTACCCAGGTCCAGCATCATCGCTGGCCCGTCCGACAGATACATCGTCCGGGAGAGCCTCAAGCCAGGTCTCTCGCACAACCAGGACTCACTTTTTTTACGAAGACAAAGTGTGTGTGGTGGGGTGTGGGGGTTGAACAAGGAAATACCATCAAAATTGTGCCGTCCAGAAAAAAAAAGAGAACCATTTTCCCCTCTCTCTAAAGATGGCCCATGCAAAACGTCAGAATGGACGGCCCAAAGCAGAATGGTCGTCTCGTATGAGGTGGAAAAAAGAAGACAGCATGCACCAGCCGGGAAACGAACCCGGGCCTGTACCGTGGCAGGGTACTATTCTACCACTAGACCACTGGTGCCTCGACGGAATTCCATTTTGTGGGTTTTATAATTCCAACTTCTGGTAGCAAGCGCACTCACCACATGTCAACAGCTGCAAACAGGAGTGCCCCCACAGCTCTTGCATCTTTGCTGCACTCCAAAGTTTACTCCATAATCTCACATTTCTCTCCCTGTCCATCAGGCCAGATGATGAATACTAATAAATTGCTCAAAATAACCACACTAGGGACAACCACAAATATATTTTTTTCTCGACAAGGGGCAATAAATTTCTCACTGTTTGTTACTCCCTTCTTTTCGGTTTATAGAGCTTATCTTAAAATTTTAGATTTCCCGTTTTGTAAGTCACAATTTGATTGTTCTCATCACATGTTCAGATTTCAAGGTGCATTAATTCATTGCATGCAATGTATGAGAAAATTCACCAATGCATGTATTTCATGCATGCATGCATTGGTAAACACAATTTTTTGAGGAGCCTGAGCGTATTAATTGAGTGCTTTACAAACTACAAAAATTATTCCACCACTTATCATCCACCAAGCGACCGGAAAGATTGGGTCCGCGACGCCATTCAAGGCAGCGGACCGTGACCTCGCCGGTGGCGACGGACGACGCTGGCGACGGCAGCGAAGCGAGAGAGACAGAGGGAAGAAACGGACGTGTCCGAATGGATAAGGTCTAACTAGTCAAGCCCACACACTCGCTCTCACATTTGTCCCTCGCCTCTCTTGCAAGCGAGTGAGCTTACCATGTGTGTCGGCATCGACTGAGCTAGGGTTGACAACGACGACAGGGAAGACTATGAATACGACGACCATAATCACCCACAAGATCCCCCAAGTCGTTGCACCTAGAAAAGCAAACTGGAATACTTGCAAGGATTACTATTACACTACATACATACATCAACATTTTCCTGTTTCCGAAGCCCTCTTTCACATTTTTCTTTGGCCTCATCTTGGCTCAGTGTGTTTTCAACTTTATCAACAATGTCATCCACATTCATCTCTAGATCCACTTCATCTTCCCCTAACCTTTTCATTTTTTGGTAAATTTTATATTACCTTTTCTATCTTGCTATTTTGTTCTTCAAAGTTTCTTATATTTTTCATTGAGTTTCTACACCTCACGATTCATTTCAAACTCAATTCACTCCCTTGTAACAAAAATCACCTTCTCAAGTAGAGCACCTTGGATCACCAGCTTCACAAAAATGCAAGAATAAGAAATAAAATCAATGAGTGGAACACAAATTTGGATGAAAAATTCTAGCAACCCAAGACTCAGCACATAGTGTATTATTTCTAGAGACTAGGTCCAGCCTTGAACAAGTTTGACTTAGGACAAAGTTAGAATTCAATTAACGTGAGAATGATTTGTTGGGGAACGTAGCATGCAATTTCAAAAAAATTCCTATGCTCACGCAAGATCTATCTAGGAGATGCATAGCAGCGAGAGGGGAGAGTGTGTCCACGTATCCTGGTAGACCAAAAGCGGAAGCGTTTGACAACACGGTTGATGTAGTCGAACTTCTTCTCGTTCCGACTGATCAAGCGCCGAACATACGACACCTCCAAGTTCTGCACATGTTCAGCTCAATGATATCCCTCGAACTCTTGATCCAGCAAAGTTTCGTCAGCACTACGGCGTGGTGACGGTGATGATGAAGTGATCCGCACAGGGCTTCGCCTAAGCACTACGACAATATGACCGGAGGCGTAAACTTTGAAGGGGGTCGCCGCACACGGCTAACCAATGTTTTTGTGTTCTCTAGGCGCCCCCTCCCCACATATATATAGGTTGGAGGGGGGAAGAGGCAGCCAGGGGGGCGCCCAAATAAGTCGAATCCTACTTGGGCTCCCACCCCAATTCGCCGCCTCCCCTTCATTGTTTTGCCACTAGGAGAAGGAAGGAGGAGGTGCCCCCCTTTCCTTTCTCCCTTGAGAAGGGGAAGGAAAGAGGGGCTAGCCCTCCTCCCTTGCCTTCCCTAGGGCTGGCCGGCCTGGTGGAGGGGCGCAACAGCCCCCTGTGAGCTGGTATGTCCCTCCCTAGACCCATTAAGCCCATATAGCTTGCCGGGGGTTGCCCGAAACCCCTTTCGGTGACCCAATACGTACCCAGTACCCCAGGAACACTTCTGGTGTCCAAATATTATCGTCCTATATATATGAATCTTTACCTCTTGACCATTTCGAGACTCCTCGTCATGTCCGCGATCTCATCCGGGACTCCAAACAACATTCGGTCACCAAATCACATAACTCATATAATACAAAATCGTCATTGAACGTTAAGCGTGCGGACCCTACGGGTTCGAGAACTATGTAGACATGACCGAGACACCTCTCCGGTCAATAACCAACAGCGGAATCAGGATGCTCATATTGGTTCCTACATATTCTATGAAGATCTTTATCAGTCAAACCGTAATGACAACATACGTTATTCCCTTTGTCATCGGTATGTTACTTGTCCGAGATTCGATCATCGGTATCTTCATACCTAGTTCAATATCGTTACCGGCAAGTCTCTTTACTCGTTCCATAATGCATCATCCCGTAACTAACTCATTAGTCACTTTTCTTGCAAGGCTTGTCATGATGTGCATTACCGAGAGGGCCCAGAGATACCCCTCCAATACTCGGAGTGACAAATCCTAATCTCGATCTATGCTAACCCAACAAACACCTTCAGAGATACCTGTAGAGCATCTTTATAATCACCTAGTTACGTTGTGACATTTGATAGCACACAAGGTATTCCTCTTGTATTCGGGAGTTGCATAATCTCATAGTCGAAGGAATATGTATTTGACATGAAGAAAGTAATAGCAATAAAACTTAACGATCAACATGCTAAGCTAACGGATGGGTCTTGTCCATCACATCATTCTCCTAATGATGTGATCCCATTCATCAAATGACAACACATGTCTATGGCTAGGAAACTTAACCATCTTTGGTTAACGAGCTAGTCTAGTAGAGGCTTACTAGGGACACTGTGTTTTGTCTATGTATCCACACATGTATCAAATTTCCGGTTAATACAATTCTAGCATGAATAATAAACATTTATCATGATATAAGGAAATATAAATAACTACTTTATTATTGCCTCTAGGACATATTTCCTTCAGTCTCCCACTTGCACTAGAGTCAATAATCTAGATTACATTGTAATGATTCTAACACCCATGGAGTCTTGGTGCTGATTATGTTTTGCTCGTGGAAGAGGCTTAGTCAACGGGTCTGCCACATTCAGATCCGTATGTATTTTGCAAATCTCTATGTCTCCCTCCTTGACTTGATCACAGATGGAGTTGAAGCATCTTTTGATGTGTTTGGTTCTTTTGTGAAATATATATTCCTTCGCCACGGCAATTGCTCCAGTATTGTCATAAAAGATTTTCGTTGGGCTCGATGCACTAGGTATTACACCCAGATCAGATATGAACTTCTTCATTTCATTCGCTGCTTCCGAAGCAGCTATGTACCCCGCTTCACACGTAGATCCCGCCACGACACTTTGCTTGAAACTGCACCAACTGACATCTCGACCATTCATTATAAATACGTATCCGGTTTGTGACTTAGAGTCATCTGAATCAGTGTCAAAGCTAACATCGACGTAACCATTTACGACGAGCTCTTTGTCACCTCCATAAACGAGAAACATATCCTTAGTCCTTTTCAAGCACTTTAGGATGTTCTTGACCGCTGTACAGTGATCCACTCCTGGATAACTTCTTGCTAGACTTATAGCAAGGCACACATCAGGTCTAGTACACAACATTTGCATACATGATAGAACCTATGGCTGAGGCATAGGGAATGGCTTTCATTTTCTCTCTATCTTCTGCAGTGGTCGGGCATTGAGTGTGACTCAACTTCACACCTTGTAACATAGGCAAGAACCCTTTCTTTGACTGGTCCATTTTGAACTTCTTCAAAACTTTATCAAGGTATGTGCTT